AATTATCCTCAATAACTGTATGGTATAAACTTTACAACATTTAAATTTAAAAAAATACGAAGCTCAAGAAGTGACGGATATGGTAGCCAATTAAACACTAACTGCTTAAATTGAGCTGCTGATGTGGCAATTCCACTTTCCTATTTAGATTCGGTACGCCCGAAAATTCAACCTTTAACTATTCCAGCTTAAGCGAATTTGATATCGTAATTAGGACTGAACGAAAACCTCTAGAAAAAGTGGTATCATTTCCGTAAAATACGTTCTACCATAATTTTATTTTATTTATTATGATTTCCCACCGAACTCCATAAAATATAAATTCACAAAGGAATTAGAGAGACATGAAGTAAATACTCAAGAGGATTCAAGAAGCAGAAGAAGAGTATTGTTGCTAATGGAATAACCTTAATTACTCGTCCATTTTCTGTCAAAGTCTTCAAATTTGCAGCCACGGTCCTCTCAATATCTTGGGGTGCCGAATAGTGGTCCTACCATATGACCATATATGAGATTCCAAAAAGAAATGAGAATCTTGGGGTGAGATTCAAGGTACTATAAAAAATAATATGAGAATCACAGACAAAAGGAGTGACAAGAAGCCCTCATCTTTCCAGGAATTATATGAAGTGTAAAGAAAGACCAATAGGTTCGACAGAACTCAACACTTTTTAGTTCATACACCAATTTCTTTCATAATAATAATAATAATTAAAAAAAAAAAAAAACTGAATTTTCATGTACTTAATCATCAAAGATAGAGAAAATTCATTACCACTATGTACTGTGAAATTGCAGGCCGACTAGACCCACGAGGTTCCTTCAACTTTGTTATAGCCTCCAGGATAACATCCTCCAACCTATAATTTATGGCCAGGGTACCCAAAAGACTTTTAAAAAATTAGAGAAAAACATTGCTGATAACTTCTGGAGGATTAGCTTGGTGATTCCAACATATAGAACAAAACTAACTTGTCCAGATTAAGAATATTATATTGCATGTGGCTAAGTTCAAATGAATTGGATTAACTTGGTGTGTGGATGTATCTTATATAATATCAAAATTGGATATAGAAGATAAACTATTTAAAGTTCAAATGAATTAAAAAGGAACAAACAACTAAACAGAATCCCATCACTGACTGATTAATACATAACAATTACAAGTTTTAAATTTTAACTGCATATAGAAGGAAGAGACTCGTTGAGAACATGCAAAAATATACGTTAAAATAAATATAACTGAGTAAATTACATTTTACATATTTCAACCTTGAGATGGGTTTCTTGGAATCTGCAACCTGAGATATTTCGCCAGATGCTGCTCGAGAAGTTCCTTCAAGAACTTCAGATTCCTTCTCAACAATCGTGCTACGACCTGCAGTGTTTTCATCTTGCTTGATGGTAAGCTGATTGCTTTTATTGGTAAACCTAGACTTTTGTCGAGATCCCAAGACCATGCAATTCAAATTTCTATACTTGTCCTATCCAATAGAAGAAAATAAAATCAGCTCAATCGAAACAAGAAGAAAAAAAATATTATGTAACATCGATAATTACGGGTATACCCTTAAGATGCTAATTCTGCCAAAGCAAAGCAGATTGAAGGAAAAAAGAACTAATACTTAATAATACCTTGAGGTCCACATTGGAACGTGCTCGCAAAACTGTGCTGAATTCCGGATCTTTAAGTATGGTACTCCACTTTCCTATCCCATATCTGCGAATACCAGCTTTAAGAGCAGCTTCTTCTTCTGCTGTCCACTTCTGTTTAGGTGCACCCATTGCACGGATCAAAATCTTGAACAATTACCTATTGAGTAATGTGCACTAATGTTATGTCAGGGAACATGCGGAACACAAAAAGACAAAATTAAATCAATACCATCTAGGTAAATATGAACAACATTTGTTATGACTGCTAAACTACATAGAGAAAACTGAAAAAAATAAATTTTTTATCAAAAACTGAACTGTCTAATGAATTATATCAACTTCGAACTTGATGACTAAAACATCGAGACAAGTCTGTTTGTAAGACAACAACAAATGCGCTATCCCTTTATTACAATGCAAAGTAGATCTGAAATGGTAATTTGATTACTCAAATCATCAATGATCCAGGATACTAAAAATTTTACGTGCAATAATATATATATATATATATATATATATATATATGTATGTATGTATATACAGCATTAATAACTTGTCAATCACTTCACAAAAATGGCAAAAAACACCAAAAGGTAATGATTTCTTGTAACTTCTGTTAATAAGTATCCTGAAACACCTTTCACGTGTTAAATCTACACTTCGAACTTGAACAAGAAACAGGAAATTGTCCACAGCAAAAGGTGGGAACAATTTGGGTCAATGGCTACGTTGAATTAGGATTACGATAATTCTCCAAAAGGACAACAGTACAGGCCATAATCAATAAGTGCCACAATTTGGTTTCGAAAAAGCACAAGTTTCACGAAGAATTTTGCAGCTTGTCAGAAGTAATGTAAATGAAATACCTACCGTTCTGCAAATGAGTTTCACTTATATGATCCACAAACAGGATATATGCCAAACTGTCCATGCACAAGACAACTTATTACTTAATTACTTATCAAATGAAGTAAGAGCAACAAATTCACATACTCAAGATGAGGCCACAAACAGTCAATAATTTAGGAAATTCAGAAGGTAATGATTTTTTAAGTCCAAATATAAAGGAACATATTTTCTTAGATAAAAATTGAAATGCAAAACAATGTGAAGCACTACAATCCTTCACTCACAACTTCAGATTCTCTCAACGAGCTCTCAGAATGAAAAACATAAATTAACTCACGTATCCTGCATTTATGTCACACACACACACACACACAGAGAGAGAGAGAGGGAGAGAGAGAGACTTTTCCGAGGCAATTTAGGCATTTCCTGGGCAAAAAAACTGCTGTTTTTTCCACATCTTGTTCAACTGCATCATCACTTCGAACACGTCAAAATCAAATCCCAAGAATAAAAAATCTAATACCCGTAAAAGCATTACAGACGGATAAAAAAAAGGTAATAATAGCAATAAAAATCGTCACTTTATGAGGGGAATGCTAATTCATGAAGAGACAGTGAACTAAGAGCTTACAATCAGTAGCCAAGCCACACCCTGATTCAGGGCCATACAACAAAAAGGAGCAAAAAAACGCAAAATTACAGGGTGATTACCAGTGAACCAAAGCCCCCTCTGCGAATGAGATTGAAGTCGGAGACGCTAGGATCAGAGATGAAAAACACCTGAAGCAGTTTGCTCGTCACTGTTTGAGACCTTGATTATGACGCCGCTCCATATTTTGTCCACTTTTGTGGTGTGGTGGAAGAATCGGTACTAGCCAGTCTGGGATCTTTGGCCCAAGTTAAAATATATAACAAGCTATACCAACTTATAATATAATAATATTGGGAAAACATTATTATGTGGAAATTATTTTATTTTCCTTTTTAGTACACAAAATTCTTATTTAATCATTTTTGGTACTCAAAATTTAATTTTTGTTCCACACCGTTATTACTATTATTTTTCTTTCTTTTGTTTGAAACTATCAGTGGTTGTCAAATCGCCTTCATGACGCTACTGAAAATTCAGAAAAATTACATAGAAAATGGTGTTTTAAATTAACGACTCATATAAATTCAAAATATAAAATTGATTAATGGATAATGTAGTCCACTAAAAAAACAAAGCAAGAGCTCAATAATCAAGATTGAATGATCGGGTGATTGGGATTACCAGATTGAAGTATTCATCTCACCGCAAGACATTACCGGAAATCTAGTAACTTTGTTGGTATATTGACAGCAATTAGGATGTTCGATCGAAAATCGGGAAATTTCATTGGATTTATCAAGAAAATAGTTTTCTATACATATATAATCATGAAAATTCAATGGTCAGATATCTTATAAAAGTCCAAAAAAAACAAAATTAAGGCATATATTTTTTTTTTTAATTTTATCATTTATTTAATAAATTTTGAAGTATCATATAATGAAATTGAATATATTGTTGGAAAGATGGAATCAAAGGGCGCGGACCTGGGTTAGCTGGGAGTCTTTGACCGAGTTCGAGGCCAAGTTTTCAGGGAGTCCAAAAACAGGCACGACCATGGACTCCTCGGCCACAATGTGTTGTTGGGCCCTGCTCAGAAACTCTTGATACATGGTCGGTTTATTCTGACATAGTGACCAATTAAATATAGAATTTTGTTTTAAGCCTGCCTGAGCTGACACAAGCAAAGTCTCCTGGTGACAAGGCTCCATATTTTGTATCTGATCATTAAACGGGTAATGTAATCCTTCAAGCTCTCTCCTTATCTCTTTCGACGATATTTGTTATAGAGTCTTTCGGGGATCATGCACACCTGGGACCCAATGAAGTGAGATCAGAAAAGCCGACTTTAACTGCCCCTAAGTTGAGCTTGGATGAGGGTATAAAGAGTAGTACCATCTTTGTGCCTTGGGCCCAAGCGCTAACGAGAACACTCGGCACCTGAAGGCGTCTCCAGCCCTATGGAGATCCATCTAAGAAGTGTATAGGTCGATGTGGGAATCAGGGCCTGAACTGCCATCGTATAGTTCGTTCTGTGGGACTTTAATCTTGTCGGGCAGGGGCTCCAAAATATCTTCCGATAATGGGGAGGTTGTGTCTACCACACGGCTACTTGTGAAACCTCGGGGAGGTGATGACAACTTCCCCAATACCATTGTCGAGCTTCGAGCTCGGCGACCTTCTTCTTAAGGGCTACAACCTCATCGGTGTCGCGATTTGCAGATTTTGACTTACTCCTGAGGATTGTCTGCCTCAGGTCAAGTTCCTGATCTCAGATTTTGGTCCGTTAACTTGTCTAAAGTCATTTTTGCTACAATAATTTTTCTCATAAAAAATAGTATGTTATGTTGTAATTTGTATCATATTTGGAACATTATTTTTGTATTAATGTCTCAAATATAATACAAATTGCAACATAACATACTATGTTTTATGAGGGAAAACTTGTGTACCAATATTTTTCTTTTAACAAATTAGCGAACCAAAATTAAAATTGTATCTAGAAACAACCAGAAAAGTTGTATACCTGAAACGAGACTTATTATTATTATTATTGGCATAGTAGCCTTATTACATTATTACGATACAGTTACAGCTACTTAATTCTATTCTATTCATCCCGAGTATCGTTGATCCAACTAACAGCAATTGGACTCCTCACCACGTTATTCCCATCCGACCACTCTATTCTGCCGAGCGCATTCGTATCCGGCGGCATCTGGGTTGCTAGTTGCTACCACTGTCAGCTTGTAGGACTTTGCTTCATTCTTTGGGCGAAAAGCCAATGTTTGAGGATTAATAGAAATCGTGGGCAATGGAGTTGGTGAAGATATTGACACTCGGTATGTCATCCCATTTTCTGTGTCCTCCTGAAAACCACTTTGGTTTTACAATTTATATTTATATCAACTTTAGTATTTCTTATTTGCATTATATACTTTTCTCTCTGGCCAAGATTGTATGGTCGAAAATGTCATAACAAAATAACCCCAAAAACGTCAAGTGCATGCGCCTTCAAATTAGCTAGAGACAAGCGATTGGATTTTGATTGGAAAAGATAACGTCCTTACTCCTTAGTCAAAAAGCTCCCTGCTAAAAATATTCTTGCGATAATTTCACGTCGCTTTTTCTAGCATAATTACTTCGTACGTCATGCAAATTGCAAAGGCATGATCTTGATGACATTTGAGAAACATAATTTTTTTTGTCATTGATTACGTCACTACATATTATCATATTCCAATAAAATACTCATTAATATATCTCAATAAAAATTACAACGAATATTCCAATAGTGTACGTAGTTTCCATTGGAATGATTTGAATGAAAATTCCAACGAAAATTAATTATTGATTATTCTTGCGACTAGAATTCTCTATATTTTCTAAAGTATTAAGAACACTAATAAAATTATTTAATCTAGTTTAGAACCTTCCTAGGGACGTGATAAATGAGCATCAATATCTATATATAACTATTTACCAAAATAGTAGCAAAAAAATATGTCAGAATTTAATGCAGCCTATAAATAGTAAGTTTTTTTTTTCTTATTTTTTATTAAAAATCATACAACATTAAATGCTACCTTAAATTTCAAGCTTTAGTTCATTTTATTATTTAAAAATTCCGACTAAGATTTATTATGTGTGCATGTTTTTATTTTTATTTTTTTCTTAGAAACAACGAATAACATTAAAATATCGGTCCTTATATTTATGAAATCTCAATTGAAAATATAAAAAAAGTTTTAGAATCTCGATCTTTATATTTGTTCCTTTTAAAAAATATTGAACGCTAAAAATATTCTTTAAATTGCATAATCAATAAAGTAATCTTAATTTTTTGGAAATTACTATGTTTATTTTTTTATTAATATGCATAAAGTAAAAATAATTAATTCATCTTTATGTATATATTTTATAATCTTAATATATAGCATTTGGTGTAATGAATCATAAAATACTTTTATTTTATAAAATTAAATATATTTAAAGAAAATAAGAAAATTTCTTTGGATCAATCGGGTGATTGAATTAGTGTCTTGCCCAGGTTGATTGAATTACTTTTAGGTGATATTTAGAATAGTCAAAAAACTTGACACAACTTGGTTGGTCCCAAGTGACTAAGTTATGTATCAGTTTGACCAGACCAAATCGATTATTGAACCTAAGTATAAATTTTAATATTGAAAATACTTTATTACGTGAATGTGATGTAGTCCAAACTTCAAATAATCGTATTAACAATACTTTTATGACAACATGTTTAATAATTTATGAATATTTATATGTCATTTTATTAATATTTATGTGAATGAAATAATATTTTATTATGATTATTACTGTGCAATAAATATAAGGTTTTCAGAACCGGACCGTCATTGAAAAGATCGAGTTATTTTAATAAATCATTTGTGGTTTGTTCAGATTTTAATTTACAAACATTTTAATAAATATATATAGCATTTTTTGTAATAACTTTAAATAAAATGTGTTACTTAAATATCTAAATAATTTATAAATTCAAATGTTTAAACTAATTGATAGATAATTTATAAATCTCTATTTTTTAAATATGTAATTTTATTTAAAATAATTTTAAATGTAAATTTTTTTTTGTAGAAATCGTATCGATCCTACCAGTCCAACTGACTGGTGTTGACGTCGATAGCAAATATTTTATTCAAGCGAACTAGACTGGTTATAAGCTAGTTCTCAGTCCATTCGGTCGGACTGTGTCCAACCCGGTTTAATTTAAAAACAACTCATGATTAATTTTATTTATATATTTTATTTATAATACAATTGTAATATTGTTTTCTCGTGCATCGCACGGGCCACGCACTAGTTTATTAACAACCTACATTGCATTTTTAATTTGCTGGATCAACATTTATACCACGAATGTAGATATGCGAGTACGTGATTTAACGGTACAAAACCTGTAGTTACATTTTTCTCAATCCACGGATTTTTTATTTCTATTATTATTATTATTATTATGATCATCGTTAAAAATAAAAAAATAAATATTGTTATATATTTGTGAATAAAAAAAAATATTCATTTATATATTATCTCTTTTTCCAACAAATTTCAAATCCAATGCACGTAAATTGAGCTCGTAAATTGCTCTGAATTTCTCCTCTTCTGAGTCCTTTCCTGATCGGCGCAAGTACTGTTTTACGAACTCCATTTTTCCCGGCTTACCCCTATTTATCTTGGATGAGAAGGATAACCTTTCGGCAGTTTGAATAAATTGCATTTTTTTCCTATTCCCGGTGGCGACGTGCTTTCAGAGCATTCATTAAATTGGTAATTTCGGTTAAACGAAATCATCAACTGCATAGTTTTGTGATTCTAAAGAAAAAAATACATAAATTTCCAAAGACGCAGTTTTAACCGAACAGCCCAACACTTCCAAAATATTAAAGCAAACATGCCAAGTATTCACGAGTGCATCATATATACAAATCATTTTATAATTTATCAAGGCCTCAATGCAAGACAAGGATATTTAATGTTGTATCTATTCACAAGGCAAAGACACGTACATAAGAAAACATTCATGACAGATCATGACATGAAGATGTCATCAACATCTAACCCAGTCCCTTGAATCCTTATCAGAACTGTAATTCGACTTTCTATAGCTAGCAGGCACATCACCATCATCATCATCCTCAAGATCACTAAACGACACATCATCCTCATTCTCGATCGGAATGTTTTTGCCAATGGGGTCTCCTGCATCTAAAGTTTCTTCCTTCAACCAGTCATCTGCATCATTTTCGTCTTCATCTATAGAAATAGTCGACGAGCTGGATTTATTTATATATTGTTCGTTAACTTGGCCGGTTTCATTTTCTTGAGTGATGGGCCTGTTAACAGTTTTGCTTTCATTTCTCTCAATTGGGTCCTTCACAATTTCGGGAGCAGCTGAAGTGCCCGCATTAATATTAGCTGCCTTGTTGGGCAAGTTTTCAGGCATAACAGAAAGAGGCTCTTCATTATGAGAAATATCAATCTCCTCAGGGCCCGGAGATTTTTTGCCATAGAAGCTTCCGGATTCTGTTGTATTTTTGTTCTTTAGTTCGTGGCCAAGCAAGGCCCTGGCTTTCAGTACCTGCACAAAGAACCAGAAAAATCAATTTGGCAGTAACATTTGAGGAAAATAAATATAACGTGCATGGTTTTCATAATGAAGTAACACAAAAAGTGCACAACATACTAGGCCACCTGTGGACCTTATTGAATCATCAGATATAAGCCAGATAGATATATGCCTATTTATAGGTGAAAAATATTCTCATGATGATTATTTGAAAATGGAACTATGCCATGCCAATCATTGATTCGTTTAGTCTGAATATTCTACAATTTTCTTGTTAGGATATACCCCAATTTTTTTTTAAATGGTTCACACTGCAGTAGTTTCTAAATACCAAATAAATTTTGTTCGATTAGTATGTATTATTTTTTCATTGTAAGAGAAGATGCTGTCAACTGCACACCCAAATGTAGTTAAAAATTGCTCGAGCTCTAACATATCTGAATGTATGTGTGCACGCATCACCTAACTTCTAAAGTTATCATATTCTTGAATCCAAGGAGAATAGTATAGACAAGACAGATAGTAATGATGAAAAACCTGGGGTGTTGATAGAAGTTCGGCCTCCTGCTTATCAAGTCTAGGATGAAGGAGCAGAAAATAAATCAACCAGAAGCAGCTTTCACTCATGTATCCAGGGCAAAGTTCCATCCTTACCGCTGCTAATCTTGGGGCCAGTCTTTCGACTGCTAAGGCATGTTCTTGTTGGGCATTGGTCATATCAAAATCTAGGATTACAAAGAATAACACATAAAACTCTTTCTCATGTAAATTTCAGATCATGAATATTATGGTTTGGCAAAACATCACCAAACAAGAGCATATTGTATTTAATCTGACATGCCAAAAGCTAAAAATTATTATAAAAGTGTCATGATGCACATGCTCTTGTAGTTCAGAAAGCACTAAAATTGTCAATTGAGTAAAACTTTACAGGCATACAACTGAGTTTGATCTAGATTATGCAAGAACTTTGATGAGTTTGCCAATTAAATCCAAGCACTAATCCTTTTTAAACAAATATAAGATAAGCCCAATTACCCTTCTTATTCACTAAATAATATATTGTTTAATTGTCAAATATAGTATCTTGAAAATCAAAATCTATCAAATATCTCAAAACATTAAGTTTAATATCACTTCAGCAATGTGTAGGGAAGCACTTAGATTAGCTCTCATGATTTGCTTCAGACCATTGCATTTATAAAGGCCTGCATAAGCATTAGCTCTGATAAGGTGAATTTTTCCTGTCCGGTATGGAGTTTACAGTTTTGTTTTAGGGAACATGGATTGTGTGTGAAATTATATATTTTCATAAAAATGAGATGTCAACTGTGTTCTTTACAATACACATTTTATTTTATCTTGAGTTGGCTACACAGAAATATGTACACAACTCAAAAGGAATAAAATATTTTTAAAAGAGTTTGAAACAAAGTAAGCTTACAAAAACAAATGAGTACAAGCCTATGTTCGATTGACAAGCCTAGATATGTTGCTTTATAGGAAACATCAACAAAGGTGAATGCGTATTCAAATGAATTCGCACAATTACAAGAGAAACTTAACACTCAATAAACTGTTGTAAACTCAAACGAAACCATTTTGCTAGAATGTAAAGGTTTTACGCTACTATCCATTTATATATTAAATAAGTAAATTTCAAACATACCAATGACAATAGGTATTATGTTAGGCCGACATACTCTTTTCTACAAATATGCATACTTAAATAAGAAAATATCACACTTTCAAAAAAATATAAATGATAGTATTATCGTAACGGGCGCCAAGCCACTTCACGCAAGAATTTGTGTATGAATGAACTATGTATATTGCAGACATGCATTGAATATCTTAGCTGACTCACTAACACTTAAAAAAACTATGTAGATAATAATAAATTTATTTCAAGTATAACTCATTATAGCTTCAATAACCAGCACTCAACTATAACCTTAAGAAACCTAGCCTATGTTTGGTAACCAAATAAGCTAGATTGGTAAGATATAGCTTATTTGGTTAGCTTATAAGCTTCCTATATTCAAATAAGCTTCGTTTGGTAGGATGAACTTTTTTAAAAAACTCGAGCTTATTTCATAAGCTTATTTCGGTAACTTTTCAAATAAGGTAGCTGAAAGCTAGTTTTACAAAATACTTTTATCATATCATAGAGGCCCCGGTAGATAGCGGATTGAAGATAAATTAGCGGATTGGACTTAATTGAGAGGTTTGACCCGTCAAATCCGCTATTGAGCTTGTTTGGTAAATAGCTTATTTGATAAGCTTTTTGAGCTCAAAACTCTAATTTAGAGAAAGTTCATTAGAGCAGCTTTTTGGGATAGAGGATTCACAAAAAATCATTTACTTGGAATTTTTTTATTTGTCTCATTTATTTTACAATCTACATTGGTTTATGGTGCTAATAAATAATAATATGTCATCCATATGATTAATTTATCCAGAAAAATATAAAATTCATAACTTCTTCATCAAGTGTTAGTAAATTTTAAAAAAAAAAGTATTTATAAATTACCAACTAAAGAATATTAAATGTTTTTATATATTATTATTAAAAGAATACACCTTAAATAATAAAATGTCCTTATTGGTCATTTTGCAATGTCAAACAGCTATAAGTTTTTTAGCTATTTACCAAGCACTTATTTAAAAATTGCTAATGCAATCCGCTGGTCAAATCAGCTAATATAATCCGTTATTCGCTATCCGCTGATACAATCCGCTATTCGCTATCCGCTGATCGCCAAACAAGACCTAAGCTAGCTTTTCATCTGTAAGTTATAAGCTCGAAATTTACTTCAAAGTTATAATCTAACTTATTAGCTAGGTTTACAGAACATAGCCCTAATCCACCACACAGTCTAGTCACACTCAATGATAACTACCCAGCTCAACTTCTAACTTAGAATCTATCATAACTCCAAAATTAGTTGTACAAAACGAGCAAGTAAAAGACCAACAGAAACAGAATCACAGAATAGTGATGTTAAACTTACCAACATTTTCAGGCAATGGGAAATCCAACCAGGTCTCTTGATGCATAGTAATGTCACGAACAAAAGCCACCACTTTCTCAGTCAAGCCCACAGCTCCTTCCCCAAAGGACTCGAAACTCTCCCTGTTGTTACCTATCCCGTCATTCTCATCATCCGATTCCAATTGCAGCAAATTCGTGGCCATTTTAGTAAATTCAGAAACATTGATGTTATTCGACAGCCTCGAAATCCCGCTCTTGAACCTGCCCCCAATCTCCGCAAAGTCACTTCGGATCCCCAAAATCGAGCCCTGATCCAGTTCCGACACGCCCGAGTCGGATTTCGGCTCGGGCTGCGGCGGAGGGGCTAAGAATGAGGCGACGCCCCAGAATTGGCGGGTTAGGGTTTTGCTGAGCTCCGAGAGATCCTCTTTGACGCCGCGCGACGTCGAAGTGGGAGATGTAACGTCGTCGTCTCGGGATTCTGGGCTATCGGATTGTTTAGGCTCCGGCTTCCGGACTGCGTTGACGTCATCATCGTCTTCGTCATCATCGAACTTGAGAGAGTTTGCGATAGATCGAGCCAACCAAGCCATTTTTATCTGTGAACAACAGCCAATGAGATCGCGTCGCCGGCGATCTGCCTTTTGTGGCTATTGGGAAATTGCAGATTGGTACTGCTCCGATCTAACTTTATTACACAGTGAGAAGCATTATTGATAAGTTTTACATTGTGCTCCCTGAGGTTTCAACATTTGGCATTTAACTCCATGAGTTTTTAGAGGATGTTTGAATATAAAAATTATAATAAAAATCCAAATATTTCTAATTCGACTACTTTTTTAACTCAATCTCACTCTCATCAATATTATATATATAATTACATAATATCAATCAATCATTCTTACACATCACATCAATTTTATATAACTATTCATTCACTCACAAAATTTTAACGAATTATCACTTCAAATCATATATCTCATATTTTTATATCAAATCAATTTTAATTATTTTATATTAAATATTATTTGATATACTCACTAACAACTAACCATACCACATTTTTCAAATTAACCAAACCAAATTAAAAAATTCAAATAAAACCCAAAAAAATTATATATATCCAAGTTAGTATTTCGTATTCAATTGAGTTGGTTCCTAAATATGTGATGCACATCGATCAAACAGGCCAACCGAGTGCCAACAGCAACAAGCTGTCGGGCGCATGGCGGGAGTAGTTAATATTAGTTATGTTAGTTAGTATTTGGATAGGATTATTATGTTAGTTATAATTTAAATGTTTCATTGGTTAGTTAGAATAATTTGAATATTTAAATGTTGTTTCTTTTAGCATTTATAGACTAGGAAATGATGTTGTAAGAAAAAAAAGTTTAAAGTAATAAAACATAAGAAAAAGACTATTTTCTGATTACTTTCTCTGTGATAAACCAAGGCCGATAGTGCAAGTTTTTTTACATTTTATCGTGTTCAAACCAAGGCCGTTAGTGCAAGCTCGTACACAAAATTGAGTCCCGATACACGATCTTCATTATTTGTGCTTTCATGAGAGTTGTGTATCGCCATATTTGATCGAGAGCGGATTGACTGGTGGGAGAAGAACGTACGTTCTATGAAAAAGAATGTACAATCGAGAAAGCAAGCCGTCGAACGGATCGAAAGGATGATGCCCCATTGGATCGCTGCCGCCGAAAAAATTAAGGCACTATTACTTAACCAGAGCTTTATGTCGGGGATCGGTAATTGGATGGCTGATGAAGTTCTTTATCAAGCAAGAATCCATTCACTGCAAATTACTTCCAACAAATCCAATGAAAGTTGTGCACCCTTGCTCATGCGCATTTAGGAGGTGATTGAAAAGTCAATTGAAGTTGGGCCCGACAGTAGTCAGTTCCTAGGAAATTGGATTTTCTATTCTCGGGGAAAGAAGCCTGACAAGGTTTTTGTAAATGGGAAGAAAATTGATTTCATCAATGCTGGCCGCAAGAGCGCATGGTCACGCCGGATTGGAAGGATGACGATGGCGGAGCATGGTTGTGTAAGAGAGGCGTGGTCCCATCGAATTGGAAAAATAAGCAAGAATGAGGAGAACGTGAAAGATGTTTGAGACCAATTTTCGATTTTTATCCTTGAGGACAAGGATAATAAATAAGGGGTTGGGAATGATGCGCATCGACCAAATCAGCCAACGTGGCGCCAACAACAGTAGGCCGTCGCGCACATGGTGGGAATAGCTGATATTAGTTATGTTAGTTAGTATTTTGATAGGATTACTATGTTAGTTATAATTTAAATGTTTGAATGGTTAGTTAGGATAATTTGAATATTTGAATGTTGTTTCTTTTAGTATTTAAAGACTAGGAAATGATGTTGTAAGAAAAAAAAAATTATAGTAATAAAACATAAAGAAAAGACTCTTTTCTGAGTACTTTCTCTGTGATAACCAAGGCTGATAGTGCGGGTTTTTCACATTTTATCGTGTTCAAACTAAGACCGTTAGTGCGGATTCGTACACAAAACCAAGTCCCGATACACGATCTTCATCAATATGGCAAAACATCCATTTTTAATAATTTCATACCTTTTCAACGAACTTTGCGGCAATTCCGCAATTTTGATAAATGAAGTCTCTCTTTTTTCCCTATAGAAAATAACCCCAATTTTTGCCTAACACTTTCGATTCTTTCGGTGCCTTCCCCAGCAGGGCCTTCCGAGTTCTCGATTGTGGCATCCCTAGGCCACACGGCTCAATTTTCGAAGAATCACTGCCATGTCGAGTTGTGTTTGCTGGTGGAGGAGACGCTCGTCCCCGAATTAGGTGTCGACGTGGTTCTGACACCTATAACGGCAAGGCGGGTGGCCAATTTCGTCATGTCTTCGCAGACGCGGACCTCCGGCGTATTCTTCGAATGTGGGTTACAGCTTCGATTTACACCTAGTGGGGATGATTATGTGATCAATTGTGTAGGTCATAGGGTAGTTCCGTCCTTTCTTAAAAAGCAATGGGGCCCACACAATCATCACCATTCACACGCACGGTCTCTCACCTCTCCCTTTCTCTCTCTCTCTCTCTCTCTCTCTCTCTCGCTCGCTCTCTCTCTCTCTCTCTCTCTCTATCTCTCTCTCTCTCTCACACACACACACGGTCACTCACTCAGACACATTCACACTCACTTTCGCTCCGCCGGCCGGCATCCCACACCACAGCCACAGACCCAAATCGTCGTCGCAGCAAACCCGGTCAGTCACGTCGTAGCCGCCGGGCCGCTGCAACAGTACCCCGACTCCGTCAGACCTGCTGCTGCTGGAGCTTCCATGTCGCGGCGATTAGCTGGTAGACCCGCCGTTGCCAGAGATTACATGTCGACGACGATTAGCTGGTTAGATCCACCGCTGCCGGAGCTTCCACGTTAGAGCTGGCCCACGCTCGTCGCCAAAGTTTCAGAGGTTGTATGAAACCAGATGCACACATCATTACTCCGGGACTGGCAGGTGAGGCAACGACAGAGGCAGTTGGGGCTGTGGTGACGACGACAGAACCGACGGATGGTGGCGGGTGGAATTGGTGATGTCGGCGACTGTTTTGGGCAGGTGGTGAGATGTGTATTGTGAATAGGGACCTTCAAATGAGAATTTGATAAGTTTTAAGGACTTATATGCAATTTTCATAACTTTTAATATATTATAATTTAGTACTTGTGACAAATATATTATTTAATAAAACCTCAATACATGCCCAATAATAATAAATAAAATGCACAATAATGTGCAACCAAATATACATTAACGCGCAATTCGTGTAACAATGTTGTACAAATTTTTAGTCGATATTGTGCAATATAAACCAATCGATATTTTATTTCAAACCAATTTAATACCAAACACAATTAACTAGTTTATTTGATCGGATGATCAAATTAACCGAAATAATTTAATTAAAATATTATTTATTATTTTATAAATAATATAAAATTTGAAATAAACCTAACATTTTACATTTTTTTGTTTAAAAACATTATTTTATATAAGAAACTAACATTTTACATAATTTGTATCAGTTGTTTCAGTCTTTTTAAAAAATAAATATAAAAATGAACCGAAATAACTAAAATTTTAGAGGTAAAAAACAGAAAATCGAACCGACATAAATTTCAAACCAAAAACTTAGTTCCCCCGGTTTCGATTGGTATAGTGCGATTGATAGTCATTAATGTGTAATTCATATAACGCTAAGGTGCACTCGAAGTGTATATATTTTTTATTATATTGTCTCAAACCAAACTATATCCAAAATATATTTAGTAGTTTAATGTATTTATTGAATATCTTATATCATTTTCGATTGTAAAACAAAATACTGTTTTTTTTTTTTAATATAGTCGGTCAGTTTGATTATTGTAAACAATAAAGCTGACATCGGTCCGAGATACCCGAAATTTTAAAAGTACAACCCAATATATAAAATCCAAACCCACAACTCTGTCTGACCGCCTCGGAGGTTATAGTGCAATCTGGTAGTCAATAATGTACAATTCGTATAACAATAATGTGCAATCAAAGTGCAATCATTTTTTAATAAATTATATTTAGTATTTATATTCTTTAATTTAATATTTTATATTACAATTTTTTTAAAAGAAATAATATATAAAATAAAAATAATAACTCTTACAAAAGATAAATAATATATAATATAAAAATAACATTATTTTATATAATTTGTTCGGTTTTGTTATTGTTTTTTTGGTTTTTTATATAATGCCGAAACTGAACCAAAATAACCAAATTTTTAATATTTTTGTGAAAATGCATATTTGTTATGTTCTTGTGCATTATTGAATGCATAAATTTGCATTTGGTCAAATATTATTGTGCAGTTTGATAGTCACTAATGTGCATCGTGTTTTATACTATTGTGCATTATGCATTTTGAATTTATTTTTCTTATTATTTATTTTATGTGGTATTCCAAACTAAATCGAACCAAGATAATTGGGTTATTCGGTTGGTTAATCAAATTAACCTAATAATTGAAATATTTTATTATTTATATTATAAAAAAATATATTTAGTATTTTAATCTTTTTTATTTAATGTTTTATATTATTTTTTGTTGAAAAAATATAATATATATGTATAAATATATAATTTTATATAAATAAAATAATATTTTTTTGTATTATATTTCTTATAAATTATAAATTCGGCCCATGTACTCAATTGAAATATAGTTAAAACTTCGTAATATACAATTAGGTCCCTTCAAGTTTTCTGATTAACAAAAAAATGCCCACCCCCTTCCCAGCCCTAATTTCTGAAATTGGCCTTCATCCCACCACTAAAATGCTTCTTCATCATCACGCGGGGATGCAGCATGGCGCGGTCTTCCCTTGAACAGCCGGAGTAGCTTGGCCGCGGAGGTCAGGTAGAGGAATGAAGGCGCAACGGTAGCTGCGGCGGGTTTGGAGCCGCGGACGTCGGTGCTGGACTAGGGTGGTGGGATGAGATGGAGAACTTCGACGGGAATGGAATGAGATGTATTAGATGAGGATGAAGGCGAAGCTGGTGCCGCCGCCTCAGCCGCTGCGGATGCTCCCTAAGAGGCCCTCTAGCGGTCGAGGACGTTGCCAGCGGAGGTTGACTGGTCCAGTGATTGATGGCGAGTCTGCAATTCCAGAGCATGTTGCCGTAGAAGGCGCCGATGATGTGGCCTGAGATGCCATCAATTGGCAGAGAAATGAGATGATTCAATCAATGTGCAGATATGGGAGAACCTTTTTTGTGTTGTAGAGGGGTATGTGTGTGTTCTATGTGTGTGTGAGAGAGGGGAGAAGAGAGAGAGAGAGAGAATTGAGCGAGAGAGAGTGGAGACGCGTGAAAGAGTTGTGTTTGGTGGGGGTTGGGCCCACTGATGATGAGATGGTTGATGAGAAATCTCCACATTGCTCTTACTTAATGTAAAAATGTTGTTTATTTTTTATTGTTTAATGATCTAATCAGATGGCTACGACGCATTCTTATTTTTTTCACTAAACACCATTCTCATTGGAGTGCATCCTTATATATATAAATATAATTGCTAGTTAATCATTAAATAAAAAATCTAATAAATTTTACTTACATGAGACTTTTCTAATATAATAACTATTACAATATATTATTATTATTATTATTATTATTATTATTATTATTATTATTATTATTTGATGGGTCTACTTCTGGATCTGAAGAGAACCGGTGGATTTGAGCTAAGATCTGCTTGAACCGCCTCTGAATCGTTGCTAGACCGCGAGAATACCTGCAAAAACTCAACGCCGGAGGTGTTTCCGGCGTAGAGCCTCCGACGCTCAAGTCTACGAGAGTGATGAAGGGATGCTGCGCAGTAGCTATGAGAAGAGTGTGGAATGAATGAGAGTTAGGGTTTTAGAGTTACCTCATCTCCTTTATATAGGAGTGAATACTTACTTGAATTACCCAGAATGCCCAAGTCGGTGGACCTAGAAGGTCCAAAATGCCGCGGTCGATTCGTCTCCCCTCCCTACTGAGTCATCTCAGGATTCCTTCTTATCCTTTGGAATATGTAGAGCCTTGAGTATGTTACAAGTGTAGGGAGTCGTTGGTGTACTTCACTTCTCGAGGTATGAAAAGTCGACACCGAGTACGGACGAGTCGACTCGGGGTCCTCTGGTTACTCGGAGGCTACACTCTTGTTGACTCTTCAAGTAGAAGTCGGGTATCAGAGAATCGACTGAAGGAAGTCGACCTCGAGGAGTCGATCTATAGAAAGTCGACCTCTGGGAGTCGACTTTGTGGGAGACCTGCTGGCTCTTTGTGACCATTTGATGAGAAGTCGACTTGATGGGAGTCGACTCCAAAATGCCGACCGGCCTATGTTGTCATCTGAACAGTCTGGGCTATTCTCCGGTCGAGTATCGATCCTTCGAACCAGTATATCTTTATATGGCTATATCATTATTATTATTATTATTATTATTATTATTATTATTATTATTATTATTATTATTAGTACTACTAGTACATTAATCCACTCTATCCCATTAATGATAAAATAATTCTTTGAACTTTTTTGGGTTAACTAGTGCATAGCCCGTGCGATGCACGGGTAAACAATATGACTTTCATAGCATGTAAAATTGTATTATCACAGGTGCATAATAAAATCTACATCTTAAGTTCATATTTTATGTTTTTTAATGGAATAAAATCTTTCATTTTAGGGATAATATGTATTTAATCTGTCCAAATTTATCTACATATCGGAAATTTAAATTTTAAATTTGAAGATAACCCGAATCTATGATTGCAAAATATCGTTTAATAATTAAATTAGCCGCAACTTTACGATTTGGTATTTTGAAATTTAGAAAAAAATAAAATCATTAATTTAGGGAAGATATGTGATAAATTTATCTAAATCTTGTATACATCACGTTTTACAATTAAAGCAATTTAAGTATGGAGATTAAGATATTTTGAATCTCTAATTTAAAACAAAGACCATAAAAATTTGATTTGGGATTTTGAAATTTCTTAGAAAAAAAAATCATTAATTTAGAGGATGATATGTGATAAATCTATCTAAATCTATTATACATCACGTATTACAATTAAAGCAATTTAAATGTGGAGATTATTCTTATTTCGAATCTCTGATTTAAACAAAGACCATAAAAATTTTGATCGTTTCAAAATTAGACCCGTGTATTATTTTTCATTATAAATAATTGTCAAATAAAACAATTGAATCAGCCGCAGCTTCATTCTTTTAACTGAAACTGTCCGGATTGATGGTTAGAAAAAATGTTTTTAAAAGAAATAAACAAATGATTTTTTTTATATATATTTACCCTTAAATTAGCCATAATTTTTTTTAAATAACATTTGCTAATCAAAACATATGTATTAGCCGATTTTATAGAAAAAAAAGTTTCTGATATTTTGAAAATACAAAAGAATATTTTTATAGTTAGAAAAAATAACACATAATTTTTTTAATTATTAAATCAGTCGTAAATTTTTTTATTAAAAAAAAAAACTGCCAAGCAAAACAATTGTATTAGCCGAATATGTGGTTTTAAATTTGGAGTATATAATTGGCCGATATTTAATTGAATTAGCAGTCGTGACGTACATTTTTATTCAAATTTAAAAATAGCTTCTTGTAATCAATAACTAAATTTAATTGATATGGCCCGTGCATTATCAGCTTTTGATATGCACATTGTGTCAAACCATCGCAAATATTTAATAGACCAAATTTAAATAGCAGCCCACTTTTTTGAAAATAAAAAAGAATGAAACTCCTCATTTTAAGGATAACATTTAATGTTGTCCATTTTGACCAAGAATTGTCTTACTATCTATACTTATATAAAAAGTCATCCCATTTAATAGAATTAGTAGGAAGAAAAGTCAACTCATAATTAATTTCACACCATATTTAAAAAGGTTTAGATATTTTAAATCATAAAATAGGGTAGCATTAAATGCCCCTAAAATTATGGGTTTTGTTGAATTCAGGCATCCAAATTTGCGTGTAGTTTTGAAG